ATTTTTAGTAGAGACGGGGTTTCACCATGTTGACCAGGATGGTCTCGATCTCTTGACCTCGTGATCCACCCACCTCGGCCTCCCAAAGTGCTGGGATTACAGGCTTGAGCCACTGCGCCCGGCAGGTTCAGTTTTAAAAAGCTAAGCCTCTGTTATGAGCTGAACTGTGTCACGTCCACCAATATCCAAAGGTTGAAACCCTAATCCTCAGTATCTCAGAATGTGATGGTATTTGGAGATAGGACTTTTTAAAGGAATTATTAAATTTAAATGGGGCAAGTAGAGTGGGCTGTAGTCCCAGCTGACTGATGTCCTTCCTTAGAGGAAGAGGAAGGCCAGGCACGGTGGCTCACATCTATAATCTTAGCACTCTGGGAGGCCAAGGCAGGAGGATTGATTGCTGAAGCCCAGGAGTTGCAGTGAGGCATGTGATTGCACCACTGTACCCCAGCCGGCTGGGTAACAAAGCAACAAAAAAAAGTGTTAGACTTTGTCTCAAAACACACACATACAGGGCACCTGGTGTGGTGGCTCACGCCTATAATCCCAGCCCTTTGGGAGGCTGAGGCTAGCAGATCACCAGGTCAGGGGTTCAAGACCAGCCTGACCACAAAACCCTGGCTCTACTAAAAATACAAAAATTAGCTGGACGTGGTGCTGCGTGCCTGTAATTCCAGCTACTCGGGAGGCGGAGGCAGGAGAATTGCTTGAACCCAGGATGCGAAGGTTGTGGTGAGCCAAGAACACGTCATTGCACTCTGGCCTGGGCAACAGAGTGAGACTCCATCTCAAAAAAACCAGAAAAAACAAAAATGAGCTGGACATGGTGGCTCATGCCTATAATCCCAGCTACTTGGGACGCTTAGGCAGGAGAACTGCTTGAACTGGGGAAGTGGAGGTTACAGTGAGCCAAGATCGCACCATTGCACTCCAGCCTGTGTGACAGAGAGATTCTGTCTTTAAAAAAAAAAAAAAACAGACAGGGCCTCACTATGTCGCACAGGCTGGAGTACATATCCCAGGCTTGAGCAGTCTTCCCACCTCAGCTTCCAGAGCAGCTGGAACTACCGGTGCATGCCACAAATGCCCAACTTTTTTTTTTAAGCAGAGGTCTTATTCTGTTGCCCAGGCTGGAGTGCAGTGGTACGATCTTGGCTCACTTCAACCTCCGGCTCCTGATTTCAAGCGATTCTCCTGCCTTAGCCTTCAGAGTAACTGGGATTACAGGCACCCACTACCATGCTTGGCTAGTTTTTGTATTTTTAGTAGAGACAGGGTTTCACCACGTTGGCCAGGCTGGTCTCGAACTTCTGACCTCAAGTGATCCACCCACCTCGGCCCACCAAAGTGCTGGGATTACAGCCACAACTCCCGGCCTAATTTTTGTATTTTTACAAAAGATGGAGTTTGGCCATGTTGGCCAGGCTGGTCTCAAACTCCTGGACTCAAGTGATCCTCCCGCCTTGGCCTGTCAAAGTGCTAGGATTAGAGGTGTGAGCCACTGTACCCAGCCCAATTTTCTATATAATCTCAATTTTCAATCTCATAACTTTTTTTTTTGGCTTTTTAACATTTCTTTCATTGCTTATAAGGAAAATGCTTAGAAAGGCTTTCTTTACACTGACATCCAGAAAATACTAACAGTTTCTTATAGTTCTTTTCTAGATCTATTGCTTGCTTTACCTTTTTAATCTATCTGGAATGCCCGTGGAGAATATTTCTTACCCAGATTTCCATCTCCAAGCCCTTTCACACATCACCACTGACTGCAAACCTCTTGGAACCATCACGTTCAAAAGGAAAACCAGTTAATGTGGGTTCTCATCTTGGTGAATTAGCATCACCCGTGAAGTCTTGTATTGGCCTAACAATGCTGCTACTCCTCACCTGGGATCCAAGTTCTGACTTTGCGAATCTCAAATCTGTCCCCTGCCTCCACCTTAGTTAAAAATCCCTCAATTCCCTCCTCCCTAACTAGCTCCCTGCTACTCTCGTTTAAACCCTGGTGGCAATATTGCCCCTTCCTCTGGAGGGTAGGGGTCAAGGGAGGGGAGGAAGACACATACCCTGCACGTATGACAAGAAAGACTTCAACTTCAGCACTGCTGCTAATCCCTCAGCACCTCAACTTCCAGTGAAACCAAGTTACGGGCCACTCTCAAAGCAGTGTAGGTTGTTTCACAAGTTCACACTTCCGTAGACAGATGTTCATTTTGTCTAAATGCTCCCTTTGCCTAGAAGATCCTTACTATTTCTTGAAAAACTGACCCAAGAGTCTGCCCTCTCCTATGACTCCCCCTCCCTTTCACAAAGCTAAATATAATTTTCTTAGATTCATACTGTGTACAAATCTTTTTACAGTTTTCCTTGGACTATACTGAATCCACCTGTTGACAATCTCGACTCCCCTTCCAGGCTGCAAGGTACTTCTAGCCAAGGTCTGTTGTCTTACTCATCCCTGACTTATGAATACCCAAGTCTATGCCTGTCATACAGGACTCCATACATATTTTGATAAGTGCCATCTTACCCTCCATGGAACATTTACTCCACAGAGAAGGGTCACTCTGAAGCCACTGAATTTCCTGACCAGTTTCCATTTTTAATCTAGAGTTTGAAAGAGCTGGCTACAATTAAGGGACAACATATGATCACAAACTTATTTTAAAAAGTCAGCTGGCTAGAATGAGGCTTGAATATTCAAGTAGACTCCTAAAATAGAGCACCACACAGCCAAAACATGGCTTCCAATTACACATGACCTAATATCCCAAAGAGTTTCTCAACAAGCAACTACAACCAAAAACAACGCTGACACTAAACCTGAATTTTAAGAAGGCTTAACATCTGAATCCCCATCAGGATCTCCCAAAGTACGAATAAATGACCAATGGACCAATAGGTACGAATTAAGGCAATATACAGGGAAAACACAGGCCCTCAACCCTTTGAAAATAATAGTACACTGGCAAAAACTGGGACATGGAAAAATCAACTAGAACAGCAAACCAAGAAATGAACTACAAAAGTGACCAAGGAGGTATGGGACCAACAAATATAGTCTGAAGGAGGAATAACTACAATGCAATTTTCACTATGAAAGCTTCAACAGAATCAGAGGTATTGTACCTTGTATAGCAAATGCATTAACAAAAGGGATGACGTGCTTGAACTTTTGAAAGGAAAGATCAGAAAGTCAAAACCGGGCACTGAATTTTAGTAATTTTTCTGCTGTGTAGTAGGAAGAGGCTACCAAGGCTTCCCCTCTCTTGGAGAAAACCGCCAAATACTTTTAGAACCCTCCCCACTGTGATTTGACAGAACAATCTTCTCATCACAAAGTTAGCTCCCAGGATCCAAGACACCGGCAAGGAGGTTCCTTGAAAGTGGACAAAGAGCACTGTAGTCACTGTAAATGTCTGACACGGAGCTCCAAAACATGGAAATGTGATGACCCCCACAGCAATGTCACCTTGAAAGAGCACCTCTATGACCAAACACTACTGCTCTCTGTAATACTGAGTATCATATACAGTAAATGGATCCACTAATGTGGACTCTTCCTTTAATCAGTCTCCTCAATGAGGGGAGTGAATGAATGCAATGTAAGATACCTTCTGTCTCTCCCTCTTCGGAAGATATTAGGATTGTTCCTTTCCCATCTTCAATTTGGACATCTGGTGCTACCATTGCAAACTTTTCTTTCACTATCTACAAAAAACAAAACAAAACAAAACAAAAAAAGGATTCAAAATATTAATATAGGTAAACATTGTAAGAAATCCTAGACCTCTTTTCTAAGAAGGCTCTTACATTCCCCTTCTATTTATTGGAAAGCAGCCAAGTCACCCTTCAAGGTCCCTTAGAGCAAGCAGAAAAGCCATGGGGATTCACTTGAGTTCCATCCCCATATCTGACCACTGATGCAGATCAGATCCAACTTCATCCCAACAGGGGACTGGGAACTCCCTGGCTGGGTTTTGCTACTTTGTCTTTCTTTGTAGATTAGGTAGTGAGCTACACACACTTGACATATTTCATTTCAGTCTCTGTGCCAACCCTGTAATGGCAGGTGTTTGACAGACGGAATCATTTCTCATTAACCTGACTCTCAGATAAGCGTCTCCTTCCATGCATTTAGAGAGTGCTAATGATAATATTCTGTTAAATCCTATCAGCTCCTAAAAAAGAAGGGAGAAAAAAAAGAAAGGAATTCTCTAAAGGTCTAAGTATCCTACAAATAGAGGAATTACCTTTAAGCTCAAGCATCAGGAGATAACGAAGATAACTATTTCCTAGAAAAGAAACTGGGGCAACCACCCTCTGCTGTACCTGCCACTTCCTTGACCAAAACATAAGTTCAAATCGATCCAACCTGCGTAATGAATTTTCGGAAGAAAAGGCCATTCCCTGTCAAGCAGCACTGCTACGTGAGAAGGGCCGCTTCCTCCTCTCTCAAGAGGCATGTAAATATGTACCATTATGATGGTCACAATCAGAGAACAACAGGAAGTGATCCCAAAGTGGAAAGTGACACTTTGGGTCTTTAAAAAAAGAAAGAAAATCTCCCCTAATAAACAAATCTGGCCAATTTAAGAGGAACTTAAGGACCAGACCATGTCCTAAACCCCCATTTCTTCCCTTATTTCAGCTCCACAGGTAAATCCAGGCATGCGAATGTCCCATGACCGCAAGGACTAACTTACCACACCAGAATCCGGTCATATTAGATAAATGTGTATCATCACCAAGTCTCAACTCAGACTTCAGAAATAACAAAAGTCCCCTAATTTGCTGGAGTCGGACCTACTCCATTCTGGGTTGTGGGGCACCTACTCTGGAATCACAGACAGAAAAGCCTGCAGGAATCCTTGAAATAACCCAGGAAATCACAGCAACACATCTGTGCAGTTGGACCTTTTCAGGATCATTAGCTAGTGTTGGCTTGTTATCACAGTAATACTGTAAAAGGAAAAACAGAACCAGCCCTTGCACTGACCTTGTCTTGTAAGGTGAGAACAGTCACTTTATGGACATTCAGCCGCACAGTCACCTCTGGCTTGCTAGCACATACGTAACAATTGGGGTTAGGAGGATCCAGTGCACAAGGGACAAGAAGCTTCTTTCTTGGATTTGGTTGTTTATTCAAAAAAATCTTTGGAGGAGAAAAACAGAAGAAATCAGAAATGTGTGCTATAATTTTATACACCATACAATCTAAAATCTCATTTACCAGATATCCAATAAAAAATGACTTAAATATTCCCTTTCAGATGGCAAAAAGGGTGAGGAAAATCATGGCCTTTTTTAGGAGGCTGGTTTTTCAACTTTTCTTTTCTAATCAGCTAAAGCCTAGGCTTGCTGAAAAGACATCTCCTTATATTATATAAGACTCTGCGTTCTTCTGCAACCCAATTTAGCAAGAGTAAGGGCATAAGCATGCTCATCTGTGTTGCCATCGCTGTATCAGCTGCTGGTGTCCCTCCCTGCAGCTATTCTTATCAACCAAGCAATCTCCCGACAAGACCAAAACATTCATTTCTCCAGTTAGCAATAATGCCTTTCACAGATGTCTAGAACCAATGTCACTGCCTTTCCAAATTCTCTGATTATAGTAACATTTATATAATTAGGAAAAAAATATTATATTTCTGGCAGTATATGCACCTAATTACCATTTCTCTAGTACTGAACAAAAAATAATTAAGAACCAAGGCAAATATGAAAATTACAATGAAATTAAGAAAAGCCCCAAGCTCCTGCTACTACTAAAGTTTGGAAAACACTAGTAAGATCCAACACAAACAACGTCAGAAGACAGAAAGTTGAGACAAACTTTTATCTTATGACTACAATGTAGTGTTGATTCTGCTATGAGGAATGAATTCTAAAGGAGTACTCTATGGACTCTCCCAAGCATACAGAACTAAATCCCTCAAGAGATAGTAAAGCCCTCCTCTGTATGATAGGTTCTCCCTAGAATGAATACTGTTATATAGAAGGACTAGAAGCAAACTGCCCTGGCCAAGCAGGCTACAGAGGCAGAAAGATTTGTTTGATTTTTGGGCTTTACCAGGAAAGTAAGTGTGCTAAGGGAAATCAATAGTAATAAAAGCAATTGCTACCACTATGAATACCTGCGCTAACATTAACCCATGCTGGTATTCATTTACAAATGTAAACAAAAGAAACCCAGATATATTACTATTAATAGTCCAAGAGTGGCATGGAGCTGAGCAGGCAAAGAAACCAGAAGGATGTGATGGGAAATCACAGACATTTTAATAAATTCAGTAATTAGTCATTGGTGAGCTCAAAGGGATACCACAGCCATACATTTAGGTTGTTACAAAAAAGAGATATTGGCCAGGCACGGTGGCTCAAGCCTGTAATCCCAGCACTTTGGGAGGCCGAGGCGGGTGGATCACGAGGTCAAGAGATCGAGACCATCCTGGTCAACATGGTGAAACCCCGTCTCTACTAAAAATACAAAAAATTAGCTGGGCATGGTGGCGCGTGCCTGTAATCCCAGTGACTCAGGAGGCTGAGGCAGGAGAATTGCCTGAATCCAGGAGGTGGAGGTTGCGGTGAGCCGAGATCGCGCCATTGCACTCCAGCCTGGGTAACAAGAGCGAAACTGTCTCAAAAAAAAAAAAGAGAGAGATTGGCCAAGCACAGTGGCTCACGCCTATAATCCCAGCACTTTGGGAGGCTGAGGCGGCTGGTCAGGAGTTCAAGACCAGCCTGACCAATATGGTGACACCCCATCTCTACTAAAAATACAAAAATTTGCTGGGCGTGGTGGCACATGCCTGTAATCTCAGCTATTCAGGAGGCTGAGGCAGGAGAATTGCTTGAAGCCAGGAGGTAGAGGTTGCACTGGGCCCAGATCAGGCCATTGCACTCCAGTGTAGGCAACAGGGAAAGACTCCATCTCAAAAAAAAAAAAAAAAAAACAAATAAATATAAAATTTAAAAAAAAAGTATTGGCCAGGCACAGTGGCTCACACTTGTAATCCCAGCACTTTGGGAGGCCAAGGCAGGAGGACTGCCTGAGCCCAGGAGTTGAACACCAACTGGACAACCATAGCAAGACCCAGTCTCTTAAAAAAAAAAGAAAAGAAAGAAAAAGAAAGGAGTGCACCAATGACACTGAAAAATAAGAATACCATTGCAAACTAGATATTTTTAGAAATACCTGAGGGTTAATGGGTCATTGTATTTCAACAATAAAAAGGAGAATCTGAACAACAGTAAAAATATTGGCTAACACTTCTTAGGAAGCTTTCTTGAGTCGGTAAGAAAGCGAAGAAACATCTACAGACACTGCAGTGAAGGAAGGAAACCAAAGAGAACATCCAAGTGGTGTTAGTCTTAAGATATACACCTACCCCACCCACCACTAAGGTAACAACTGTTAAAATAGGAGACCCTTACACACAGCAAGGACCTGAAAGGAGAAAGAGAAAAATACTTTCCCACAGAAATAACAAGAAAAATTATCTTGACCTTGGTGCTTAGTGGAGGGGGAGGAGTATCTTCCCATATAATTCATTACAATAACAGGGCTCGTGCAGGTTTATGGTCTGAATACATATGTATCGAAAATCCTAAGCTAAGAATTTAGGAAGTGGTCCTGTATTGGCAGTGTCCCAAGAAGCCAAATATAATAAACACAAATGCTCTTTGAAGAACTACATCTACAATGGGTCCCCAAAGAATTATCAGACACAATACTAATACATATTAATTCTGTTTTTTTTTTAAATCATAAGCCATACAAGCAAAGCACTATGAGAGATAGCAGAAATGACAGTAGACTCTCCCATAAAGATTTCAGACATTATCAAAAAAATATAAAATAACTTTAAAACTGAAAAGAATGACAACATGAGAATGACTGAACAGGGTACTATAAAATGACCAAGCAAACTTTAAAAAACACATACCACTCTCAGAATTGAAAAACAATTGGAATATCTTCTTAGTATAAGGACCACGCAATGAATTCTTCCAAGAATTCAAAAAATTGGAAATGTCAGAAGAAAAAGCAACTTCTTAACTTTTCCTTTTTGCTGCAATTTCCAGGAAGCTTGAACATACACTCACTCGGAAACTAGAACAATTACTTTTCCATTGCTTTAAACCAATTTTATAGTTTTCATTTTAAAAATTATCTGTTTAATGTGCTCTTTATGAATTACTTTTTAAAGGAGGTTAAATAAAAATGCAAACAGAAATACTCACTGTTCTGCACTGGTCTATTTTTCCTGATAAAATCTTCAATCCTTCCAATACTATCAACCCAGCAATCACTGCATTAGTAGTAGCAATAGCAGGAATAATGTTTCCTGCCATTGCTGGAAAAAAAAAAGATGAATATGTTTCGCTGTTTAAAAAAACAACTTCAAGGTTTTAGTGATAGAATTTTAGTACAAACAACTTACATTTGATATCAAATCTACTCTTCATATTCATACTGAAAATATGCATCCTGAGGTTTGCAGCAGAGGTGACAAAATCCATTGCAGATGGGTCATCCTGCCAATAATTGAAAAAATTTAACAAGTTTCTTCACAAACATAGTATTTTGAAGCATTACTTTCAGAACAATACTTCCATGTGTTTTGTAACACTGTAGACTTTCAACTAGAACAAGAAGCTGTTGAGGGAGAGACTAGTCAGCTAGGATCTCACAGTAGTATAGAGGTGGGCTAAGTACAGGCAGGGTCTCATCATCAGCTCCTCTGATCCAGTAATGTAGTCTGACAAGAACACCAAGAACCACCAGCTTCTAGGAACTCACTCCAGCCTAAATAAAGGCACTGGAGACTGAGTGTATACACCGGAACCTCAATCTACTGACAACAGCAACCCTTTCATGGGTCCATTCATCAGTAATGAGAAGGTTGTTGAACAAATATAGAATCAAGGCAAAAAGACGGGCTGTTTAAGAAAACTGTTTCAGGCTGGGCATGGTGGCTCACACCTGTAATCTCAAGCGAATTAGTAGGTTGAGGCAAGTAGACTGCCTGAGTGAGCTCAGGAGTTTGTGACCAGCCTAGGCAACATGGCAAAACACCGCCTCCACCAAATACAAAAAATTAGCCAGACATGGTGGTACAAACCTAAGGTCCCAGTTACTCTAGAGCCTGAGGTGGTGGGATCGCCTGAACTCAGGAAGTGGAGGCTGCAACGAGCCAAGAACATGCCACTGCACTCCAGCCTAGGTGGCAGAGTGAGACCCTGTCTCAATTTAAAAAAAAAAAAAAAAAAAAAGATGTTTCATTAACACTTCAGAAAAATCTGGATGACTCTTTACAGCTCAACTTTGCCAAACTCTCTTCATATGCACCACTCTCATATGTGCTGTTTCTTCAGATAAGGTAATACAATCCAAGTTTTTCCTGTTACAATTTGCATTTTTTCCTGAGACTATATCCTGGTCTCTAGATTTTAGCAAGGCTTCCTGCTTTGAACTAAGATAGTACCCTGGTCTAAAATTCAGAGGCACCACAGAATAGAACAAAATGTACAGATAGCATGTAGGTTATTATTATTATTTTTGAGATGGAGTCTCACTCTGTCACCCAGGCTGGTGTGCAGTGGGGCAATCTTGGCTCACTACAACCTCTGCCTCCCGGGTTCCAGTGATTCTCCTGCCTCAGCCTCCTGAGTAGCTGGGACTACAGGCGCCCACCACCATGCCCGGCTAACTTTTTTGTATTTAGTAGAGACAGGGTTTTACCATATTGCACAGGCTGGTCTTGAACTCCTGACCCTGTGATCTGCCTGCCTCGACCTCCCAAAATGCTGGGATTACAGGCATAAGCCACTGCACCAGGCCACATGTAGGCTCTTTATGTACTTATTGGTTGGCTATGAAACCTCAGGCAAGTCAACTTCCCAGAGTCAAAATCCCTTAATCTATTAAATAGGGGAAATTATATCCATATCTCTTAAGGTGTGGTGAGGACTAAGTAAGAATACTGAATACTCAACACGGCATCTTCCCTAGGCAGCTGTCTTATCAATCCATTACATGTGGACTTTACTCAAGAGGATAACAATTCCCATTCCAAGGGTTCTTTATTTAGCCTCTGTGCACTAATGAAAACTTCCCAAATCACTAGCATAACAATAACAATGAAAATATGAAAAGTTACCCTTTATATCACAAAACCCAAGAGACTAATGTTTATAAGAATTCCAAGAATCTAAATATACTAGCTTCATTTTAAAATATTTAGATGTCTGATTCAACCAAAGTTTCAAAATCTGGCACATAAATTTTTCTTAGGTTTCTAAAACTGGCCTTTATCCCTTACTTTAAAACCCATGACTAATCTTTACCACCATAGGAACATACAAATTTTATGAAATGAAACACTTTTAGCCATAGAAAATACTGATTACAATTAAGTAAGATTAGTTTGTAATATCAAATCTCAAAATATGCCGTAACTGCAGAGTACTATTAAATTTGATTTTAACTTCTAAGAATAATTACATCTCATTTTTGTATTAGAGCTCTGTCTTTCGGACCTTTGAAATATTTGTAACTATTTGAATTCAAAGACAATCTCACTACATTCAAGGGCAAATCAGTCCAATGAGATGTTTTCTCCAAATGATTTTGACTTCTATGAATACATCTACATTACACAAGAAACATTTCACTTTAATATATTCACATTATTTTTCTAATCAACATAATTATCAACCCTGAACACATCACTAGAATACCAAGTTTTATATTGCTTGAATCCTGCACAGAAAATTCAGCTCTATACCGCAATTAGAGCTGAAAATATCTAAGGCAAATTCAACATATTTCCCCAAATCTAGTATTCAAAAAATGACACCTCAAGAACTAAAACACACATTTGATATGTAAGTACTTGCCACACATTGTCAAAACGAACCTTATCCCATATGAGCTCAGCTCCATCCCCCTTTTCTGCTAAATGAACTCTCAAAGTCTCAATGCTCTTTGAAAATAGACGTGCATAGCTCTTTACATCTAGAACCTGCTGGTCTTTCAGGCCTAACTGGGGTTCATTCTGTTGATCTGGTGCATTCGTTTCCTCTCCTAAAGAAAAAACATATTAGGAATTTCACTAATAAACATCATTCCTCTGCTGTGCACTATTTAACAAGTTCAATATCCGCCAATAAGAAATCAAATATGAAATAAATTCCATTAAAATAATTAACACAACAATACATATACCTGTACAAGAAAACTGTTAAAGTTGAGACAGGAAAGGTATAAGACCACATCAGAACCTCACAGGATTACTGGGAGATATAATGTAGATAAGATGATAAATAAGCATTATGCCCACCACCTAGTGAGCACTCAGTAAGCGGATGCTATTAGAGTCATAATTAAATGTTTGATTACTACCCCATATTGTTGAGAACTACTTCAAAAATATATCCCAAGTCTCCCAGGATCTTTTCAGTTTCGATGGATGCTATATTGCTGTGCATAAATTAATCCTAATACAGTTCAGATAAAAGAGAGACAAGAAGTATTGAAGGGGAGAAAGCACCTACTACAACAGTTTTCTTTCCTACATTTAAATTTTTACAATGTGCTGGGCACAGTGGCACACACTACCAGCTATTCAAGAAGCTGAGGCAAGAGGATCACTTAAGCCCTGGAGCCCAGGGATGCCATGTGCTATGACAGCTTGTGAACAGTCACTGCACTCTAATCTGGGCAATACAGCAAGACCGTGCCTCAAAAAGCTTTTCATTGGGCCAGGCGTGGTGGCTCAAGCCTGTAATCCCAGCACTTTGGGAGGCCGAGGTGGGTGGATCACGAAGTCAAGAGATCGAGACCATCCTGGTCAACATGGTGAAACGCCGTCTCTACCAAAAATACAAAAAATTAGCTGGGCATGGTGGCGCGTGCCTGTAATCCCAGCTACTCAGGAGGCTGAGGCAGGAGAATTGCCTGAACCCAGGAGGCGGAGGTTGCGG